AATGACTCTCTCATCATTGAAGTTTCTGTCTCTCTCTCTCCTTCTCCTTTCCTCTCTCTGAAATCAATAAAGATATATATTTTTTTTAAAAAAAGAGCAGAGACCCTGCAGTCGCCTGCTTGGGTCCATATGGAGGCCTCCCTGCCGGGGAAGTGTTGGGCCGAGTGGGCCGGGCTGGGTTCCCCCGTCAGGGAAAGGGCCTCGCGGGGTGGGTGCGAGGATCCCAGGCCTCAGAGCACGTGAAGTGCAGCAAGGACGCCTGCGTATTGGCCGTTTCTGCTCCGGCCCCGCGCTGAGAGCTGAGACGCCCACGTGCAGGATTCATCCGGGATCACGGCCTCGCAGAGACACGAGGGCCGAAGGGGACTCTTGAGATCCGCCACAGCCAGACTCCACTTTCTCTGCCCTAGTGAGCGGCAGAAACGTTGGCCGCGGAAACTCGTACCTGTATTTCTCGGAAGCCAAAAGTCTCCCTCCCCATCTCGTCTTCCCGGGGGGCCGTTGTTCTTACCCTTGGGGTCGATCTCCACACACTTTCTCGAATGACTCACCCAGGGCTCGGGTCATTCCATCAAGTGCACGTTTCTCCCCTTATTAAAAAAGATCACGACTCTTTTCTTTTAGAGAGGCGTTCTACATGCCCACGTTTTAAAAAAATAAAATAAAATGTTTTTATTGATTTTTAGAGAGAGGAAGGGAGAGAAAGAGAGAGAGAAACATCGATGGGAGAGAGACACATCGATGGGTTGCCTCCCGCATGCACCCCAGGCCCCAAAGCCTCGTCTTCGGTGCCCCGCCAAACCTTTCCCTTCTTCTGGGACCCCCCCAAATCGTTCTCAGGCTGGCCGGGCAAAGGCAGGTGGGACGGACATCCCAGGTGGACGGTTCACTGGCTGCGAGGGAGACGGTGCACTCATATCAGTCCCGCAACCTAAGGAGAGTCCCCAAAACGTATTCTTTGCAATTACACGAAGCTCCCCCCCAGGCTATCGAATCCAACCTGAAATTTGGAAACGACACTCCTTGCCAACAAGTCATCAATATCGCTATCGTGGTCATGAGTCGGCATCCGTTTTATTTTCCAAAGGAAACAGAACCTCGGAGGCACTGGTTTCACAGGATGGGGCAGACACCGGGGAACGGCTCATCCCATCTTGCCGCGGAGGCTGTCCATGCAAACCCGGCGTGAAAGCTTGCATTGGTTTACAGAAAAGACCAGTTAGCTCACTCCCTTAAAAAACAGTGACGCTTTGGGTCAGTTTGCAGGTGCCCGGACCCCTCTTCTGCAGATCGGGATGTCTTACAGCCGTTTCCCTGCCGTTTCTGGTTGTCGCCACCGTGAAATGGCGATTGGCACGCGGGGTTGCAAACGAGTCGAGTATTTTGGGTGCTGGGCACCTTTTAAAAGCCTGGCTCCCGAGGGTCACTTTCAATCTTTCGTGGCAGCAATGAGCCTCTTCTTGACAGCCCATATTTCTCAGCTCGGTTCCACGGTGCCTGCCCAAAGCGGCGTGATTTATGGCCTGCTTCTAGGAAACCGCACGGGAGGTGGGATACACGGGGAAAAAGGGAGATCTGTCTCTCAGCTAGAAGAAAACGGAGTTTGAAGAATAGACTTTGCCGCGCTCCACTTTTTTAAAATCTTACGTATTTTGCTTTTACGTAAGAAAAACATTGCGTGAGGCTCGGAGTCCTATTTTTTTATTTTTTTAATGAAATCCCCTTTTATAGTATCAGAAGCCAGCTCCGTTTTCTAGAAGTCATCTTAGGAAAGCGGTTCCGCATCCTGTGTTTTTTAATTTTATTTTTCATTTACAGTTTACATTCAGTATTATTTTATATTAGTTTTACGTGTACAGTGGTTANAGAAGTCATCTTAGGAAAGCGGTTCTGCATCCTGTGTTTTTTTAATTTTATTTTTCATTTGCAGTTTACATTCAGTATTATTTTATATTAGTTTTACGTGTACAGTGGTTACGCAGTCCTATACACTACAGGGTAGTCCCCCCGATATTTCCTATACACTACAGGGTAGTTCCCCCTGGTATNGGCAGGCCTATACACTACAGGGTAGTCCCCCCAATATTTCCTATACACTACAGGGTAGTCCCCCCGGTATTTCCTATACACTACAGGGTAGTCCCCCTGATATTTCCTATACACTACAAGATAATCCCCCCGATATTTGCAGTACTCGCCTGACACCATACATAGTATGACAATANTCCCCCTGGTATTTCCTATACACTACAGGGTAATCCCCCCGATATTTCGTATACACTACAAGGTAGTCCCCCCGATATTTGCAGTACTCGCCTGACACCATACATAGTATGNCAAGATAATCCCCCCGATATTTGCAGTACTCGCCTGACACCATACATAGTATGACAATATTATTGACCATTTCCCCTGTGTTGCATTTTATATCCCGGTGACTGTTCTGTAACCGCCAATCTGCCCTTCTCAATCCCTTCCCCTTTTTCCACCCAGCTCCCCAGCCCCTGCCCCTCCGGCAACCATCAGACCCTTCTCTGTATCTGGGGGTCTCTTTCTGTGTTGCTTATTGTGTTTTTTAGATTCCACATATCAGTGGAATCACGTGTCTTTCTCTAATTGATTTGTTTCACTTAGCACAATACCCTCCAGGTCCATCGCTGTTGTTGCGATTGGTAAGGGCGCGTCCTTTTTCAGGGCTGCGTAGTATTCCACTGCGTAGATGTACCGCGGCCTTTTTATTCACTTGTCTCCTGACGGGCGCTTGGGTCGTTTGCAGATCTTAGCTATTGTCCATAACTGCCGTCAACATAGGGGTGCATAGATTCCTGCGTAAATGGAGACTTGTTCAAGAATTAACTGTATTTGTGTTGGGGGCCAATCCAGTCCCAGGGTGATTAACATTGTTATTTAGAGATTGGCTCATGATGATTAAATAGGACTCTGTTCTATCCGGTTCTCCCCATGCTGTATGTCATCTCTCTTTAACTCAAACTGTCAGATATTCTAAATTTCAGTAGCCCTCTGGTTCACGAAGGGAGCTTTCTAATTGCTGAGGAAATGGGCCGAAAATAAGAGTTAGGAAGAGCAGACGAGGGGGCGCAGACGCCCAGTCAGCTGGGTTTCCGTCCCAGGGGCTCTCGCTCGTCACATTGACGGCGGTGGTCGGGGCGGTCACCTCTGGACAGAGACCATACTCTGCACCCCCAGTTCTCGTCTCGCTTATAAGAATGAATTGAAACAAAAGAACAAACAACAGCAAAAGCTGGAGAAGATTTACTTGTAGGAGAGAAATACACTCAGTTAGAACCTGAGCGGGCAACTCAGCCGGCAGAGACGGAACCGAGTGCCCGGGTATTTGGGAGTTCGGAGGATTCACACCGGTTCCTTGATCCCGACGATGCAGCCCTCTCACGCCCTCCTTTGTGGGGGGGCATAACTCAGGGATCTGGGTGTTTTAGCCCCAGGACGACATGGCCGCTCACGCCCTAATGCCCGCCTGGTCTATCCCGCAGGGTCATCGACGGGCGTGACCTGATGCCCCTGCTGCAAGGGAGAAGCCAGCGCTCGGATCACGAGTTTCTCTTCCATTACTGCAACTTCTACCTGAATGCCGTGCGCTGGCACCCCCGGAACAGTGAGTACACACCTTTCTGTGCAATTAGCGCCGTGTGAGCAGGTGAAATTCCAGGAGGGTGGAGGGCTTGTCTTTAGGGGCTACGAGACGGCTCAAGGCGTGATTGTGCTTTGCTTGAACGCTTTCTCTCCCTCCTCATATTCCTTCTGGCCCCACAGTTGTCCAGGTGGGACATCAGGAGGCCTTGGTGTTCACTCATGTGTATGCCAATGACAGCGCCCCCTGCAGGACAGGAAGCTCCAGGTGCTCAGCAGGGCACGTGGTCCCTCCCGTGATATTCAAGTGGCTGCGTGTTCCCCCGCTTCCTCCTCGCTCTGGGCTTCAGCCCCTCTGCCCTGTGCATGGCTGACCGGTGCTTGTAGCTCCCTGGACCTGGGAGGACTGTCCTTCTGTCCTTTCCTGGGTGAGGCTTATCAGTCCCGGCAAAACCCCCTGAAGCAAGCGCCACGTCCTCCGTCTGCCCTCAGAGAGCTCCCCGCAGTCCTGTCGCTTTGTGCTGAATGGCATAAGATGCTCGGCTCGTTTCCTCTTCTGAACCTCAAAGGTGGCGGGTCGGGACTCTTCAATTCGCATTTTGTCGGGATCGTGTGGATTTCCTAGACTTTAGTCTTTAAGACCAAGTTCAAATGCTCGGATGTCATATTTCCAAAACTGTGTTCTTCAAGGTGTGCTCGCTCTCAGCGCTGGCGTCGAATTTCGGTTTTCCGCCACCAGTCTTAGCATTGTATTCTAGCAAGCCTAAAGGTACAAATGGAGCCAGGTGATAATCCCAAGTGTAGTGATAGGTGCCCAGTATTTTTTTCATATATTTAAACTTAGAACCGTGATGATGATCATGTCACTGAGATGCCCGAGTCTGTGGAAATCAAACCACTGTTGAAACGACTTTCGTGTATCCTGGAGGCAGAAATCTAGGTTGGACATTCAAGTCACTCTTCAGAGGTTCAATAAATCTCCCCTTTTCTCTACTGTGTTTGGGGGTTCGGCTCCTGGAGGCTACACACTCCGAGGACATCTGGTAACCTCCCAACAGATGGTTCATTCTCAAACTCAGAGTGAAGCTTAAAATTGGCTTTCAGTGCATCTCTCTCCATCCCTACTTACCCAGCCAATTTTCTAAAGACGTCTCACTGAAAGAGCACCCGTTCATTATTTTTTTTAAAAATATGTTTTTACTGATTTCAGAGAGAGGAAGGGAGAGAGAGGGAGAGACATAAAAACATCGATGATGAGAGAGAGTCATTGATCGGCTGCCTCTTGCACGCCCCCTACTGGGGGTGGAGCCCACAGCCCAGGCATGTGCCTTGATCGTGACTCGAACTGTGATCTCCTGGTTCATGGCTTGACACTCAACCACTGAGCGACTCTGGCCAGGCCCCTCTTCATTATATTTAAAGTGGAAAATTGCAGCTTTTCCAGAAATCACACCAGCTTAACCATATAAAGTTTCTACTTTAAATGTAGGCAGCTGCCTTGCCTTGGGGTATTTTCTGGAAGCTGGATGGACAGCAACGGCCGTAGGATCTAGACTTGGAAGGATTGTATTTTCCTGTGTCCTCCATGTGTTCATAATTTCAAACCCCCATAGGAGTCCTGGTTCATTTTTTTAGACAAACTGAAACATTTCAGTCTGAGCTAAAGGGGAACTACACTTCTACCCTCTTTTGTTTACACGGAGCCTGTGAGAAATGTTACGAACTAAGTTTTTGTGCCGCTCTGGTGTTTAAAGAAGTTTGATAATCATGTGCTGAACTTTGCAAAATCACATTTAAAAAAAGCCACCTCCACCCAGTTTGAGGAGCTGGAAGGAACACATTTGATGAGGGGCTGGAGAAACAGATTATGTGGGGGAGGAAAAGGGAAACAGACAGGAAGAGACAGAAAATAGGAGTAAGTGCAAAAAACAAGACCCAGATTCTGATGGGCAGCTGGCTTTAGGATAAAATTTACTCCTTCCACAGACGTATCTTCATATGAAATTTCTTAAAACCTTCTGGCTCAAACCCGCCACAAGAGAGTAGGAATCACAGTACGTCAATGCTGGGATCAGTTATCCAGCTAAAGGGTCTCGACAAATCATGATTTCATGAATCATCTCTTATTTACTTGTTGTTAGGGTTTGGCAGGGGATGCAGGCTGTGAAAGAATTTACAATTAAAAGATCAGATGCAGAGAGGAAGTTTATTTTACTTTCCCCCAGAAGGGAAAGGGCTGATGCATGTTAATCTACACAGGGCAAGAAACAAAGGGGGCTTCTCCTTTTAAGCAGAGGCTGTTGCTAGGTGACAAGGAAGTTGAAATTGAGCAGATACCAGGGTCTGTCTTGAAAAGTTACAGTTTGTTTGCTTTCCAGGAGACAGTCCAGCAGATGTCCTAGGGAGGTGTCTTAGCAGTATTTTTTCCAAGTCTGTAAAACAAGCTTAGAGCCAAAGTTATGAAGACTTCAAAAGAGGCTTGTTTGAAGGGAAGGGGGGAAGGGAACTTTCTACTAACTAGAAACTCCTTGGTGCCAATTGTCCCTGAGCTGTGGAAACAGCAGGGAGGAGGGGAATGCAACAATGTAGCCTTGAGAGTTGTGAAAACAGCAGGGAGCAGGGGGATGCAACAATGTAGCCTTGAGAGTTGTGAAAACAGCAGCGAGCGGGGNGCAGTATTTTTTCCAAGCCTGTAAAACAAGCTTAGAGCCAAAGTTATGAAGACTTCAAAAGAGGCTTGTTTGAAGGGAAGGGGGGAAGGGAACTTTCTACTAACTAGAAACTCCTTGGTGCCAATTGTCCCTGAGCTGTGGAAACAGCAGGGAGGAGGGGAATGCAACAATGTAGCCTTGAGAGTTGTGAAAACAGCAGGGAGCAGGGGGATGCAACAATGTAGCCTTGAGAGTTGTGAAAACAGCAGCGAGCGGGGGGAGGGTGCAACAATGTAGCCTTGAGATTAGCTAATCTCCTCTGCAGTTTGAACAGAGGGGCTCTTTGAATCAGAGGAACCAACAATCTTGGGGTTTAATTGCCAAGTGCTTCGCATAAAATGTGGACGGCTGTAGCAAAGAAAGAGCCTTTTCCCTGCCCTTACGCTTGTCAGGTTGTATCTGACACTCAGTAACCACGGTTGCTGTCTTGGCGACCACACAAGGCTCTGTGGTTAGTTATCTAGTATTTCACCTTTTATTAATTCTATGAATATTCATTGAGCAACTACTATGTGCAACCCCTGTGCCGGAGTGGGCCAAGCAGAAGTTGTACTCACCTTCTAAAGAGGGAATCCACGGTCCAACCTCCACGTTGACCTCTGGCTTGGGCAATGGTTGGTATAAGAGCAGCTGGGTTTCCACTCTGTTTATGCCTTAGACTGTTTTGTGCCATGAGCTGTGGAAAGAGCCAAGAACAGCAGAGATGGGTAAGGAAAGGGAAACCTTTGTTTTCAGGGTGTTACCTGTCAACTAGAGGACACACATAAATGAGAGCTAGTTGGGTGAGTTGGCTGAGGTCATGTCAGGTCTACTTTGCTAGGAGATGGTCCGTAATCACCAGGTTGCATGGTGGGACACTTTCCGTAATTCTTTGGGATGAGAAGGTTTCCATCTGACCTCAAAATACTTCATTAGAAAAGGAAACAGGGCCTGGCCGGCGTGGCTCAGTGGTTGAGCATCCACCTGTGAACCAGGAGTTTATGGTTCGATTCCCAGTCAGGGCACATGCCTGCTTTTCAGGCTTGATCCCCAGTAGGGAGCATGCAAGAGCTCATCATTGATGTTTCTCTCTCTCTCCCTCTCACTTCCTCTCCCTGAAGCCAATAAAAACATATTTAACATGAGGAAAGAGGAATTTAGCATCCAGATTTTGTAACAGGCAGCTGTGTGGTGGGGCCAGCTCCTGAATGGTCAGGAATCCGGCCAGCTAGTAAACCGTTGCTAACATGAAGTCCACACGCTGGGAGTTTTAACACCACGGCAATTGGCAGACACGGCAAATCCGGGCTCTGTGCCTCACCCCGGAGAGAGCTAGCTTTCCCGGTGCCAGTGAAACTGGAATTGACTGCAGATGTTTTTAAATTCCAATTACTGTTTGTCCAGACTGATTGGAGGCCTAAATATTACAACTCCAGACGTTTTAAATACTTATTTTTCAAAAACTTGTAGCTAGATTTCTGTCTTGACCTTTTAATAACATCAATCCCCTTTAACGTCTATGCACAATGTCTCGTCTATAACTTAATAATTCTGTAATTATAATAATTCTATAATTCAGTTGTCTGAGCGAGTCGAATGGCATAATTTCGTTAGGATCTGATATCATCATTCCCGTTGCATTTGAACGGAATGGACAAAAGCATTATCATAGCACGGATCACTTTTCTTGCATTCAAACGGGGAGTTTTTAGTTGAAACTTACTATTCTGTGTATGTTGAAAATTTTGGCTTTAACGTGTGACGTCTATGAATCAATGTTACAAAATAGAAACAGACTCGTAGAAAGAGAACAGACCAACAGCTGTCAGAGGGGAGGTGGGGTTGGGGCCTCGACTCTGCCAATTATATCTCAAAAGTCGGTCATCTGTCCACACCTAGCTTCAGGGAGGCTGGGAGGTGGGGTCTTTAAGACGGGGGGGAGGGGGTGTTCAGCTAACACTCGGTGCCCATGAAAGGCTGAGACGACCGGTGCCAGTCTCTCCCACGGCTGGTCCTCCCACTCACAGACGGGGAGGCAGAGGTGTCGGAGGCCACGTAACACCCGACGGCAACGGGGTTGACAGCAAAGTTGGATTTGCAGCCAGCACTGTGCGTCTTCAGAGCTGGCCTCTCCGTTGATTGGAGAGCCTTCAACAAGGCGATAAGTTGTTTTTTACTCACTGACCCAAAGACGATCCTTCCCCCTCGCTGTCTCTCTGGGCATCTCCGCACCTCCGTGGACTGTCTCCGGGGCACCCCTGGGGTCGCCGTTTCCTAAGGGTGGCTGTGCCTGGGGACGTCAGCTCTGGCCTCCTTCCAGCTGGTCCCCAGCCTCTCTGCTGAGGTCACATCCTCACACGAACCCCTTATGACTGCCCCCCCCCCCGGTGCTTTTCAGAGCGGAAGGGGGGAGGGAGAGAGAGAAACACTGATGTGAGAGAGACACATCCGTTGGCCGCCCCCTGCACCCACCCAGACCGGGGGCGGGGAGCGAACCTGCCATCTAGGTACGTGCCCTAGACTGGGAGCCGGACCGGCAGCCCTTCAGTGCGCAGGCCGACGCTCCAACCGCTTGGCCACACTGGCCGGGGCGACTGCCCACTTTTTTATGCCAAGAGACCCCGAGATAAATGTGTTCGGAGCCTCTGCCTTCCTTGCTCGTTTCTCGGCCATCACCAGGTGCCCCCGGCAGTCTATCCATCTGTCGTTGCCAGGTGCCTGCTGGAGCCTGCGCTGGACACTGAATGACTGGAGGCGGACACGCCGGAGGAGGGGCGGCGGGATGCAAGAGGCCCCCTGTCTGTCCTGTCTGTCTGCCCCTTCCGGCTCACCGCCTCCTCTCATTTATTCGTTTACCCACAACCCTTTTATGGGCCGCCCCTTCTGCGTAAAGCACTAGGAACCGCTGACTTAAGGCCCGTGGGAGATCCAGTCCTTGCCTCCTGAGGGCCCCTGATGTAGCGCGTGAAACAGTCTCCAGACGGCCACAGGCCTTGAGGGCTGATCGCCGGGCGCAGACTGGTGACAGCGTCCGGCTGGGCATCGTCAGGCTCACAGGGGGAGGGACCGTCGCAGGGCTGGCAGGATGGGTGGGGCTGGGATATGCAAAGATGGGAAGGGGGGGCGTGTAGCGTGCATTGCGTACCTGCCCCGTGCCAGGGTATGCGTTTTCATCCCCTAACATCAAAGGCAAGAGGCCTGGGGCCCGCAGAGCCCCGGGGTCGCGCGCCTGACGAGTTAGAAGATGCGGTGCCCTGGGCGGCTCCAGGCCGGGCCCCTCCCCAAGGTCTTAGGGTCCAAGAAAAGAACGGGGGTACTTTTGTCAGGTGGCTGCCTGAGGATTAGGGACCCCGTAGAGGGATGTTTGAGGTGGGGCCTGGAAGCAGGGAGGTGCCCGTGGGCTTGGGGGCCATGGGGTGGATTCATGGGGGAGCACGTGAAGTCAGCGTGACCGAGGGACAAGCCTAGGGCGCCGTGGGCGCGGTCCCTCGCAAAGGAAGAACAGACCGTATTTCAAAGGATTTTAAAGAATTTCAAGACAGCGCCGGGCACCGTCGCGGGCAGTGCTGCCAGGACCGACCCCGGAATGTCTGCGCAAAGCCTCCGCCATCTACAGAGGGGCCCCCAGAACACCGTATACGCACGGTTCGAATGACGATCGTCAGTGTTTATTAACATAAGGTTCATTTTCAACATTTACAAGAATCTACAGAAATGAATAATTTTTTTTTTTTTGGTCAACGCCTGTTTTTAAAACGGACGACCGTCCTGGTCCGGGCCCTGCTGATACCACGAAGCAAGGGAATCGCCAACATCAAGATCATTCCGTGCGGAACTCGTGCGCCCTCAATAGGTCCACTGTTTCCGCATTTGTCCCGTAAACTATCTTTCGTTTGCCCCCATTTAAAAAAAAAAGTCCAGTGAAGACTTTAGGATATATGTTGCTTGTTTAAAGCTTAGTCTGGCTTCACCCATCATTTCATTTTAAACCTGAAAAGGAGTGAAAAGTAAGTGACTGATCAGCTGTTAACGTGTGTGTAGATTTTTGGGTTTTTTTGGACACGCTGTACACACAGAGTCCTTCGAGCATCCAAAATAAATCTTGCCAAGCCTGGCAGTTGAACAACACTTATTCAGGGAAATGGAAATCTGAGTGATAAATTAAGAGCCAGTGTGCTGAAGCCATTTAAATTTCGTTAACATATTTTTAAAGAAACCTTAGTGGCGGAAAAAGTATCTTAAGACGTGCTGCAGGAGCGTGGATTTAAGGGCAGATGGAAGCCAAGGTGTTTTTCGTTCAAATTGACTGAAGATTTATATTCACAGCGAACTCCTATGCAGTCTCACTGGGCGCCCCCGGCACCGGCCTGAGAGGGCAACTGCAGTTAAAGCAAATCCCACCAAACAGGCCACCAAGACATGACACAAAAATGACGCCGGCCCGTGCCTCAGACCCCCAGCAACACCAACATGACGTAAAATGCTGTGTGTTGGTTTTTAAAAATGTCTTTCTTGATTTCAGAGAGAGGAAGGGAGAGGGAGAGAGAGAGAGAAATGTCCATGATGGGAGAGTCATGGATCGGCCGCCTCCTGCTCGCCCCCTACTGGGGATCCAGCCCACAACCCCGGCAGGTGCCCCGACCGGGATTCGAACCAGCGACCTCCAGGTGCAGGGATGGTGCTCAACCTATTGAGCCACAGCAGCCAGGGCTGTGAGATTGCTGTTGATGGCTGTGTGTGCATATGTGTGTGTGCATGTGTGTGTGTGCATGGGGTGGAGTGTGTGTGTGCATGTCTGTGCGCATGTGTGCATGTGTGTGTGCATGTGTGTGCATGCGTATGCATGTGTGTGCATATGTGTGCGTGCGTGTGTGTGTGTGCATATGTGGGGTGGAGTGTGTGCATGTGCGTGCACATGCATGTGTGCGCATGTGTGCATGCATGTGCATGTGTGTGCTTATGTGTGCATGTGTGTGCATNATATGTGGGGTGGAGTGTGTGCATGTGTGTGCACATGCATATGTGTGCATGCATGTGCATGTGTGTGCTTATGTGTGCATGTGTGTGCATGCGTATGCTTGTGTGTGTGCATGCATGTGGTGGGCTGCATGTGTGCACCTGTGTGTGTGCATCTGCAGCGTTACGTGTTAGAGGCAAGCCTACCTACTCGTCCCGTGTCATTTTAGGTGGAGACTCAGGCTGTAAGATTAAAATGTGGGCGTTGGCGTGCAGGAGGCAGCAGAGCTGGGAGCTCCTAACCTGTTACTCACTATAGAGTGTCCCCCCCCAAAAAATGTATATGCACGTTACATATACATAGCTCATAGCTCAATTGATGTGTCTTTCTTTCCATATTTAACCCATTGGATTTAGTAATTATTCAAAGCGTGTATACATTTTNCAATTGATGCGTCTTTCTTTCCATATTTAACCCATTGGATTTAGTAATTATTCAAAGCGTGTATACATTTTTGGGGGGACACCCTGTTTATCAAGCATCCGCTCAACGCTTCTGAGCGGGGAAGTTTACGAGGCTAAAAGGACAGTCCTGTTTGAGTTCTACGCGGAATCTAACCGGCTTTATCTCCGCTTCCCCGGGCAGCATCAACTAATTATTTAGAGATTGGGGGGACGTAAGCAGGGGGCGTGGGGGAGTGAATGCAAATAAGGGCTTCGGAAGAAGGAAGAAAGGCCGTGCTCATCGGGAGTCTCAGTGTGCGCCGCGGAGTCGATGGCCTTGTCGGCTGCATCGGTGTCTGTGCCAGTTGAACAGGAATGTATGTTTGGATTCTTTCTCTCTTTTTTCCAGCTCGCTTTTAATTTTTTTTTCCAATTAGTTTGCACCCGATATTATTTTACATTCGTTCCAGATGCACAGCCTCGCGGCAGGAAAATCGTATATCCTGCAGAGTGTGGCCCCCGCTATTGGCAGTGCCCGCCGGGCGCCGTCCACAGGGATCACAGTATTATTGCCTGTGTTCCCTGTGCTGTGCTTTACAGCCCCATGACTGTCCCCCCTTCCGCTTTTCTAGCAAGTCCCTAAAGATCCCTCCCCTCTGGCAACTGTGAGTCCGTCCCCTGTGTCTGTGCGTCCGTTCCTNTCACAGTATTATTGCCCGTGTTCCCTGTGCTGTGCTTTACAGCCCCATGACTGTCCCCCCTTCCGCTTTTCTAGCAAGTCCCTAAAGATCCCTCCCCTCTGGCAACTGTGAGTCCGTCCCCTGTGTCTGTGCGTCCGTTCCTGCTTTGTTTTGTGCCCTGCGTTCCACCTAGGAGTGAAATCATAGGGTATTTGTCTTTCTCTGTCTGACATATTTCACTGAGCACTATAACCCCTGGGTCCAGCCGGGCTGTCGCAAATGGTAAGATTTAGTGCATTTTTTAGGGCCGAGTAATATTCCATTGTGTATACGCACTACCGACCGCCCCTCGCCGACGGATGGGCATGGGGTTCTTCCTCTCTAAGGCTCTTTCTTCCTTTTGAGCTTCCGAGTGTTCACTCGGAAGGACCGGCCGCGCGATTTCCGTGCATGTTCTGGTTGGTGGCGGCTCTCCTGACGCCCTCCCCGTGACACCCCCTCTGTCTCTGTCCACCGCAGGCACCTCCGTCTGGAAAGCTTTCCTCTTCACGCCCAACTTCACGCCCGAGGGCGCCAACGGCTGCTTCCCCACCCACGTGTGTTTCTGCCACGGGCACTTTGTCACCCGCCACCACCCACCCTTGCTCTTCGATCTCTCCAAGGACCCCCGGGAGAGGAGCCCGGTGACGCCGAACACCGAGCCCCGGTACTGGGAAATCCTGGGGGCCATGCAGGAGGCGGCGGAGAGCCACACCCGCACCGTGCACAACGTCCCCAACCAGCTGTCCTTCGGGAACATCCTCTGGAAACCGTGGCTGCAGATGTGCTGTTCTTTGTCCCCCGGCCTGTCTTGCCAGTGTCCCCACGGGGAGCAAGGCAGGGGAAGGAGCCCTTAGCTGTTGTGTTTCGGGGGGATGCACTGCACCCAGGCCACCTCCTCCGTGACAAGGGCACGGGGAGGGGGGTGTCACTGCGCAAACCAGTGTGGCCAGCGCCTCAGACTGGGATCCACTCTGCATCTGGTCACCCGAAGGCCCCATCAAGAGCCTTAGGGTGACCCCGTGGGAAAATAATTCAGGTTAACAGTGCACAGAGGGACAATGTTAGACGGGTGCCTGCCTCCCGTGTTCGAAGCATGTGCGTTCACAAACACACATGGGGTGATGAGAAGGAGTGGGTCCAACCCCAGAGCGCACAGATGCCAGGATGGGGTGGAAAGAAACCTGCCCTCCTGCCGAAAATGTGTGTGAGCAACCGCGCAAGGTGTCCGGTATCCCGCAGTCTGATATGGCGCCACGTGCGAGACTCAGCCGTGGCGCCGGTGACGTTCGGAATAGTTTAGAAAGCGTGCAGTGCATTTTAACCCACGCAACTCGTTAGTGACTAAGAGACCATCCGCTTGGCCAATTATAGACGCTGGTAGGTTCCCATTTAGTGATCGGAAGGCAGTTACGATCAGTATTATTTCTAAGTATTATTCCAAATGTATGTATTTATATAGGCACGGCTTATTTCTTTATTGCTCAAGACGGCGAAGGTATTTAAGATATGGAACTGGGCGGTTATCCCAATTGCACTAAAAGCCGTAGATTTCCACAGGGAGAGTTGTACTTTTCATGGGGAATCGTTGCGGGAATTGCTGAAAATCCGTCATCCGACCCCGGTAGCAAATGTTCTTGTTGCCAATGCACTGATAGGCCCCTAACACGTTAGATGATTGCTGATCCTATCGCACAACAGCTCTCGAGAGCCGCTATCATGAACTTTATTTTTTTTAGATGATCGTGTCCGGTCAAAATCTAAGATACTCGGTGCAAAGGGACTTTTAGACACTTTGTGACATGGGAATGTATGTTGCAGGATTAAATAACTTGAAGAATGTAGTTACATTGCGTGAACATGTATTGATGTGTAGGATTCATTGTATCATCTGTACAATGTTGCCAGACTATGAAGGATACATATACCTTTAGAGGTAACAAGCTTTCAAAACGTATCACCTCAAAATAAGTTCGATCGCTATTCTGTTTCAAAGGATTCAAAAATCAGGTTTATTCTCCATGGCTACTTACCGTCTGGAAGTTTTGCTTGGAATGTACAACAGGAAAATTGAATTTTTTTTTTTTTCTCAAGAGAGACCTAACCTTTCTTTCTTTAAAAAAAAAAAAATTATTGAATTTATCGGGGTGACATTGGTTAATAAAATTATACAGGTTTCAGGGGTATAATTCTATAATCCATCATCTGTATATTGTATTGTGTGTTCATCCCCCCCCAAGTCAAGCCTCCTTCCAGCACCATTTACCCCCCTGTACCCCCTTCTACCTCCACACACCCCTCTTCCCCTCTGGCCATCACCATGCTATTGTCTGTGTCTGAGTTTTTTTTGTTTGTTTTTTTGGTTTATGTTTTGCTGAAGTCCTAGTTTCAGCTGCTTGCTTTCAAAGCATCTATTGGTATTAACTCTTGTGTTATATACCCAAATCCTGGAGGTTTTGGAAGCTTCAAACACATGTTTTTTTGTGTGTGTGTGTGTGTTTTAAATACATTTTTATTGATTTCAGAAAGAGGAAGGGAGAGGGAGAGAGAGAAACATCAGTGAGGAGAGTCATTGATCGGCTGCCTCCTGCTCGCCCCCTGCTGGGGATCAAGCCCACAACCCGGGCATGTGCCCCGACCAGGAATCGAACCAGCGACCTCCTGGATCCTGGGTCGATGCTCAACCGCTGAGCCACTCCTGACGGGCAGAACACTTTTTTTTTTTTTTTTTAAAAACACTTTATATTCCTAGCATTTCAACAGCAACATAAAGACAGGTATTATTTTGCAAGGTGAGGAACACTGCATGCAGAGCAAACTTGCACCCTTCCGATGGAGGTGATGAAAGATTCCGGAAACGGATCTGAGATCACCCTGAGGGAGACACGGGGAAGAGAGGAGAGAAGACGGGGAGCGTATTTGGTCTGTGTCTGGGGAGAGTTACGCGTCCCATGAGCTCATCTGGGTTAAGGTTTCTGACAACCTTGTTGTAACGGAAGCGAGAAGTTAAAATAAAATTCTCCTTGGCGCCAAATACGCTGTGTTCCGGGTCCTGATTTCTCCACCATGACTCAGTTCAGCACTGAGTGTGTTTCCTGCANGAACGCTGTGTTCCGGGTCCTGATTTCTCCACCGTGACTCAGTTCAGCACGTGCGTGGGTTTGTCTCCTGCATTACACGATGGGGGATTCTTGTTCCAGCTCCAGGGATATTTACTGAGTCTCTAAGGCTCAAGGGCTGGGGAGAGATGTGCGGAGACGGGTAAGCATAAGGCAGCCCCTGACCTCCGTGATTAGAGGGCCTGGCGAGGCCCAATTACCCGTCAGGCACCCTGCATTCTGCCTTTTCTAGGGCTCACTAAAAATGTCTCTTTTTTCAAAAAAAATTTCACTAACCCCCATCACCCCCTTCCAGTTTGGCAACCATCAGCTTATGCTATATCTAGGGATGCGTTTACGTTTTATTATTTATTTTTAACTTATTTGTATAATTTTTTTTGTTTCTTTTTTTGCGAATCCCCACCCAAGGATATTTTTTTCCATCGATTTTTAGAGAGAGAGGAAGGGAGGGAGGGTAGTGGGGAGAGAGAGAGAGAGAAACATAGATGTGAGTGTGACCCATCGATCAGTAGCCTCCCGCACGTGTCCCAACCAGGGCCAGGGTTCGAATCCACACACCCCAAGTGCATGGACCAACGCTCCCACTGCCGTTTCTGTTTCTTTCTGATTCCACGTGGAAATGAAAGCACACGGCATCTGTCTTGAATCTAGGTCCACCCAGGTCGTTGCAAATGGCAAGAGTCCATTCCTTTTCATGGCTGCGTAATACTCCGCTGTAGGGATGTACTTCTTTGTCTTTACCCACCCACCTATCAATGGACATATAAAATGTCTTCATTTCTTTTAAAATCAGATATATATTTTTAAAAAATGAGCATTTGGGGCACACAGGTGATAGGTACATGGGAACCAACACAGTCGTGAAATAGAGCTGCAGTGAGTTGCAATGTTTTATGTTTTTATGGAACGTGTCTTTATCTTAAAACATAGCTCTATGTTTTATGTTCATGAACTTTTTTTTTTTTTTTGGTATTTTTAATATGTTTTTAAATTGATTTTAGAGAGAGAGGAAGGGAGAGAGAGAGAGAGAGAAACATCAATAATGAAATAATTATTGATCGGCTGCCTCCTGCACGCCCCCGACTGGGGATGAGCCGCAATCGGGGCCTGTGCCCCGACCGGGAATCGAACCGGTGACCTCCTGGTGCACAGAACGACGCTCAGCCAGCGGAGCCACCCCTGCCAGGGCCCCGTGAACATTTTCATTGGCCCCGGGCTGAGATGATGCCGCCGCTTTGCTCCATGGGCGTTCGGAGCAGAGACGTTTGAAGGGTTTAGAATTAGAGACGAAAAGCACTGTCTGTGGTCCCTTCTCTTTGGAGTGGACTCCTTAGGAAAACCAGGGTCGGGGAAACCCCGGGAGCTGTGCCTGGGAGACGGAGAATTTCAGGGCCACTGAGACTCGCTCGGGGGCTCATTGGACCCCGCGGTTCTGCACAGAAGCTAAACCTTGCCCACGGGGAGGCGGCAGGCGACGGGTGACAGCACCGTGGGGGATGCGTGGAAACAGATAACCCCAGAGGTAAAAATATGTAGTGGGGACTGTGGCCAGTCGACTCAGGCCGAGGATTGTTCTGAGTGAGTCTGCGGCGATGGTGAGCTGAGCAGAGGAAGGCGGCCTTTAATTGTTTCCTCGGTCAACCCTCCGATGATGACTTAGATGCCCCGGTTGTTTGTCAGGGCGGAATATTCCGTTTTTATGAGGGTGGCCGATTGCAACGTATATTATTACATCCATTGAGGGATGGCGGTGTTTTCAGCGGTGAAAGGTTCTGGGGCGTTTATTTTTATAAAGTATTCTTTGCATTCCCAATAAACTTGGTCGCCTTTGCAGCAGTCTGAAAATATCTCCTCTGCTGAGAATGGGACGTTTTAGCTTCGTTGATCGGATTTAGGAAAACATCGAGGGGCACCCTGGCTGGCTTGGCTTGGCGGTTAGAGAGTCGGGCCGAAGACCAAAGGGTTCCGGGTTCGATTCCCGTCAAGGGCGTGTACCCGGGTTGTAGGCTCCATCCCTGGTCGGGGGGCATCCGGGAGGCAAGTGATGACGTGACCGTCTCACATTGATGTTTGTCTTTCTCCCTCCCTCCCAATCTCTCTGACAAAGAGCAATGGCAAAAAAAAAAAAAAAAAAAAAAAAAAAAAAAAAAAAAAAAAAAAAAAAAAAAAAAA